GACATCATTCTGCCTAGTACATCCTATGAGACAGATCTCTCATATTTCAATACCCTGCTCTTCAAACTTGGTCTTTCATCTTCCATTTTCTCATTCCTATTAAGCTTGCTGGTTGAACTCTAAGCAACAGCCAGTATTGTGTCTTTCCTTTTCTCTATATCGTAGCTTCGGCTTTACTGTTTATTGTAATTTGATCATCCTTATTACTCTCTTCCCAGATCCTTCAGTTCCCTTACTTTTCTGTCATGCCATTGCCCAAGCCCAGACACATCCCAGACCGATCAGTCACTATCCTCTCTCCTCCCACACACTGGTGCCCCGGCAGAGCAGAGTACCACACAGCAAGGGTCTCCAATCTAAGTCAGTTTGCAGTATTAATTTTACTTATCCCTTTCCAGTGTCAATGTCTATGAAAAGAAAAGCAAACAGAAACAGAAAAATAAACTTTTACCCTTCGCCTTAGACATTCCCAATCCTCATGATTTCTCAGTAGATGATGTAGCATCCTATTTCCATGAAATAATTGAGCCCATCAGCACAAAATATCTGATTCTTGCCACCCACCCACAGAATCCTAGAAAGGTGTGTGATGAATCTCCATTCTCCTTAGAAAATGCTGGAAGGAACATAAATTTGATTGTGTCATACTGCTGCTTAAAAATATTTATAGGTTCCCAGATATTTACAGATTAACTTATAGCATCTTGATTTAGCAAGGAAAAGTGTTCCAAATCATTGAAATAGCTGTTTTGCACCTTCATCTTACACTATATCTATATTGCACTTATTATCTAAACAGGTAACTCTACACTATTACACATACTTGATCAACTTTTTCTCTTAAAAAGTTTTTCTCTGTCTATAATGTTCTTACAGTATGCTGTAAACTAGCAAACTTCTCCTTAACAATCTAAATCATATTTTTCCTAGGATATCTCCCTCAGCTCTTGGAGAAATTAGCAGATATTCCCTTGACTGAAGTACTATATACTACTGCTAGTCCTCCTCTTGCCGCTCTTACTACTATTAGTATTACCCAGATTATTATAAATAAGGTAATGATCAGCTACCATTAGCCGAGTTAACCAATGCAAGTAATATTTCTTTTGAGTTTCCCTAATTGCCCCTGAATTTAAGTACATTTTTTATTCCTTTTACTCTTGAAATTACTGAAGCTTAACGCAGTTAAGTGTTTTGCCCAAGGTTACACAGATTCAAGATTTACACTCAAGTCTGTCTGATCTAAAATTTTTTACTAAATGTTATATTCGATTGCCTCTCTTATAAATTTATCATATTTAACTGCAAGGCCTTATACTCTGTATTATATCAATTATATACTCTAAAGGATTAGCAATTCTGAGCAGAAATTTATATAAATCAAATTATTTTTTAATACTTCCTTAATGCCAAATGAACATGTTACTGACAAAGAATATGAAAACCAATTATTATTATTTAAAACCTGTGCTTTCTTCTATAAATTGAGGTGCTTTAAATTCACCAAATGATGCATAATCTACAAACTCATTTACTTATTTCCACTTCCTAATGAACAGAAAAATGCTTCTCTGAATGTTTATAGTATCATATCTTTTTGTTTGTGTAAACTATATAAATGTTATTAGAAATATTTAAGATTATAAGTACTTGATTGACTTCATTCTGATAAAAGGAATTGGACAATTACTCAGTTATTTTTTCCCATTTATTATTTCTTATTATTTTTAACTTCTAATTAGCACCTCCCATGTAATACACAATGCAAGGGAGACTTCTGTGTATAGAAAATAATTCTAACTGTGCACAGAATATCAGATTAAAAGATGTTATATCACTAATCTATGATATCTTAGTCTTACTGATGCTAATTCTGCAGGCTGCATACATTTACCTTTAAAAAAAGTCATCGTTTTGCAAATTATCTTTTCATTTACAATGATAAGAGGGGCAATAGAAGATGGAAAGCCAGCTTTTGAAGGCTCCTCAAAGGATGTAGTCTACCAATTATATGCTAGCCCAAGCATATATGCAGAACAGTAGACAATGGGATGTAGAACACTTCATCTCTGCCAACAGACACTACCATTGACTTTTTATAGTTAACATTTCCTGAAACAGCTGGAGTTTGAAATTTCCCAAACTCAAGCCCACTCAGCATCTATTTCAATATATGGCAGTCACAACTGAGGATCTAACCAATAAAGCCTAAACCAACTGGCTTTATATTTGAAGCCATATATCAGATGCCTAGTTAACTATACTAATCTCATCCTGAAAATGAATGAATTAAAATATATTACCACAGGGTTGGCTAGCTAAACAAACACCATAAAGTTTGAAACTATCACTGCCTAATTCATGCCTGTAATTAAATTTTAGGAGTTTATGTACCAAAAACCTGGAATGGTCTCCTCATGATCCCTGGAAGCCAGGTCTTTTAAGCTGAATGCACCCATGGACATGATTGGCCCCAAATCTGACCCATAAGTTTTCATGGTTCACTTTGAGGGTGAAACTGATAACTGTCCTAATTCCTGAGAGATCCTTCTTTTATGTTATGTACTTGAATGCAATGTGCTTCATTTTCATTAGGTGAAAGCACAGAACTTCAAGCAGAATGATCTACTGAGATGCTGCAGAAAATGCATGTAGCACACACACAGAGCACATATTGAGAGAGCACACTTAGTATGAACAGTTTTTCCTATGAATCAAGATTAAAAAGTCCAAAAACTACATTAATTTTTTACCTTTAGAAAACTGCACTGTTTTGAAGCCATTCATATGTGTAACTTAAAGAAATGTGAAATTAGGCAGCAGTAATAGTGTTATTTCTCTCATAAATTCAGACAGATTATTAGAGTTAATCCCCAAGAGCTTTCTATTTATTTTAAAATCATTTCCTTGCTATTTCCCCCAGATTGGGAGGCGTGAGTGCATAGATGTTTGTAGCCATAGGATCCACCCTTCCGGCAGCTGCTTGGATTATGCTGAGGACTTTACAAGAGCATTTAGAAAAGCATGAAAAATCCTGATTGCTAAGCATAAAAAGGAGAATATGCATAATATGGGAAAAGGTTATGAATTTTTATTACCCACTTCTCAGAGCTCCATTTTTCAAACATATATGGAGTCAGCATTGCTCTGTAGATGGAATACTAGACCAGGAGCAGCAGGGCTAGATATTACACTCCCAGATTTTACACAAACCAGATTTATGCTCTCACACAAGCATTTAACACCTTAGAGTTTGAACAAATGATCTTTCATATTCAGTTCAGATTTAACATTTTGTTACTCCATTTTGCAGTTTTTTTCCCATAACATATCATCGGCCTACCTATCTATCTACAAACCTATCTTATATCTATTTTCAAAAAACACTTAATAAATAGAATTTACTTTATCTTTACTTAGCAGTACCAATTTTCCAAATCTACTGAAGTCCTGGGTAATTTGGAAATGTGTGGTTAAAAGAAATTCTTGGCTGTTAGCAAAAATATTCCCAAAATTGTAATACACTGTATGATGAAAAAAAAAAAATGTGCCAGATTGAGACAGTTATTTAAACACAAGTTGATGCTTACTGGGTAAAACAACTGTTTATAAATATAATGAGCTTATCATGGAGCCAAGAAAAAGGATTTACACAACATATACACAGGGGTCAGAGACTGAGTAGATTAAGTTAAGAAATGATGGCACATTAAGGGAAAAAAAAAACATTTTTTAAGAGCTTATGGGTTTATCTGCTTGAAAATTAAATCTCTTATTATGCTTTCTCTTGTGTTTCTTTGAAGATCGTTTATATAGTGACCTGTATACATTAATAGAATAAGAATAGAAGAATATTTCATTTTTTTCTTTTAAAATATTTACTACTACATTTAAACATTTCTCATATCTCTACCTACCAAATTTTCTTTAAAAAAGACTAACAGGAAAAAATATTGATAGAATAATTAAGGAAACAGGATACACATATAACAGAAGAAAGGGGATTGTTTGCAGCAATTTTTCTTCAGTTTCCCTACTTGCTTATGTTTTTGATATCAACCTTCAAATAATAGTTTTCAAATATTATTTAAGACATATTATTATGGTGTTTAGTCACCCAGTCATGTTCAACTTTGCCATCGCATGGACTGTAGCTAGCCAGGCTCCTCTCATCCATGGAATTTTTCAGGCAAGAATATTGGAGTGGGTTGCCATTTCCTACTACAGGGGATTTTCCTGACCCAGGGGTTGAACCTGTGTCCCTTGTGTCTCCTGCATTAGCAGGCAGATTCTTTACCACTGTGCCATGCCCTTAAGAATTCATAGTGATAAACAATTTGTCTAAATCACACTGTGGCTGACATTTTCTCAGGTAGCTTTTAATGATCAGTGCCTCATGGTGTTCACACCCTTATACACTGTCTTCCCCTTAAGAGTGAGCAGAGTCTGATTTTATCCAATCAAATATAGCACAAGTGGTGAAATGTCACAAGCTTATGATTCATAACTAAGTTGGTAAAGAATCCGCCTGCAATGCAGGAGACCCTGGTTCAATTACTGGGTCAGGAGGATCCCCTGGAGAAGGGATAGGCTACCCACTCCAATATTCTTGGGCTTCCTTTATAGCTCAGCTGATAAAGGATGTCTGCAATGCAGGAGACCTGGGTTTGATCCCTGGGTTGGTAAGATCCCCTGGAGAAGGGATAGGCTACCCACTCCAATATTCTTGGGCTTCCCTTGTAGCTCAGCTGATAAAGAATGCCTGCAATGCGGGACACCTGGGTTTGATCCCTGGGTTGGTAAAATCCCCTGGAGAAGGGAAAGGCTACCCACTCTAGTATTCTGGCCTAAAGAATTCCATGGGCTGTATAGTCCAAAGGGCCTAAAAGAGTTGGACATGGCTGAATGACTTTCACTTCACTTTTATGTTACATTATGTGGACCTTGGCAGTGCATTTCTATTAGAGACTCACCTTGCCACCTTCCTGAAGTAAGAAGCCATGTTGGAGAAGCGCAGGTGTCAAGGAGCTGTGGGTGGCCTCCAGGAACTGGGGCAGGCCTCCAGAAGAGAGCTCTTGGCTGTCAGCAGAAAACTGAAGTTCTCAGCCTACAAACACAAGTAAGTGATTTCTTTCAACAAATTGAGGGAGCATGAAAATAGATTGTTACCTATTTGAGCTTCTGGATGAGAACCCTGCCCTGGTCAAAACCTTGATTCGAGCCTTGTGAAACCATAAGTAGAAGATCCAGATAAGAAACCCCCAGCTCCTGACCTACAGAATCCATGAAGAAATACATGTGCATTTTTTAAATTTGGCAAGTTTTAGTTATTTTCTATGTAGCAATATATAACTAACACATAGCATTTGAGAAAGAAGCGGAATTCAAACCCAGGTCTCCCTTACAGTTAAACCAATCCTCTTTCCATAACATCAATGTTCTACAAGTTTGGGTCCCAGGATCCCTTCTATAATAATTACCTGCAAGATTTATTAAAAATATTGTTTTGAGGATTACAAAGCTGACCTACTAAGACAGAATCTCTGGAATAAAGGCTGAATATCTGTATTTTTTACAAACTCCTGAAGTGATGGTTATACACAGTAATGTTGAGAATGTTTCACTATACATGTTGCTTTTATAAGCTGTAGATTTATTCCAACTATGTATAATGGCTATAGATCAGAATATCCTTTTATCTTCTAAAACAGGGGTTTTTTTTGAAGGTTGATCCTTCTAAGATTTTTATTAGAATATAACCAAATTATTAACTGATAGTAGAGATAGAATTGCATCTTTACAACTTAGTTTGCATATTTTCACATTATCATCCAAAAATTAAAATATTAGGCACTTGTTTTATTGCTTAAAATAAAATTGGAAAAAAAACACCCACAGGATATGTGAGACCCTTCAGAGATTAAGAATTAAGTATCTGAAATATGAACTGCATCTATATTGTTAATCTCCACTGTATGCACGCAACAGCTGTCAGGCACAGGGCTGGATACACTGAGGGTACTCAGTGAATATTTTTCGATCATTAGCTAAAGTTTAGAACAGGCAGACACACCAGTCCTTAGCTTTTTCAAATCTTAATCCTTTAAGATAGAACTTCTTAACCTGAATTACAGGTATATCAACATAAAGACCCTCTCAGCTCTGCCTGGTCCTCAAGTTTGTCCCTACTAGACCTAAGTAGCATTGTTCATTTACCTTACTGTGCCTCTTACTATTTCTATGTGTGTCATGACTCTAAACAGAGGTGGAGAGTTCCACATTAGAGTTTATACAACATAAAGGGTACAAAACACAACTTTCAGTAAAAATGTCTTTTAAGTTATGAGAAACAGAATCTCACCACTTTAATTTTATGTCTGTTTGACTTCTGAATGTGACCGGCAGGTTTCCCAGAAACATCACCAGAAATTCCTCTGTATAACCAAGTAGATAAAATCATCCCATTTCCTATGATCTGAGTGAACCAAGTGTGAGTTTAAATACTAAGGAATTCATGTACTAAGACTATAATATCATAATGCTATAATCTGTAAAAGACCTCTTACTTCTTATTGTATAAAAGAACAAAATTTGTTCAAAAGAGTGAAAAGTCTTATCCAGGCCAAGAATGTGATTTTAAGAATCCTCTTCCAATGTTCCTTCTTTAATACTGATTTCAAGTTTTAAGCAGTGCGAGCCTCATTGACTTTGGAAATAAAAGAAAAAAGTCTCAAGATTGAGTTAGGCTAGGAAACAAAGAAAAACAAGTTCCCTAGTACTAAAAGTCTCCCATGATGGCACAGGAGACATACACATAGACAACTATAGGCAAGGAGGCCTCTAGTACTTCAAATAGATCCTCAAATGGCTTGGGTAAATGTCAAATGTAACTCCCATGTTTCTGTATATTTATCACATATATTGGGCTTCATTCTCTCTCTTTCTCTTCCTCTAAGTACATACACAAACATTCTACCTCTCTTTTAGTGGGAAAATTCTTACCCTTTACTTTGGGGCATACAGGAAGACTATACTTCCTCATTCCTCTTGAAAGTAGACAAGACCAGATGACTTGTTTTCAGCAATAAAGTAAGAACAGATTTAGCATGTCCTTCATAGGTAGAAACATTTAATTGCCAGAACTCATGTCTCCAGCAATATATTTTCCAGCACCAATGATCACAGCACAAATTGATGTGAAAATGCTCTTAATTCATACCAGCCTGGAATGCTGAGCCAAGACAAGGAGAAAAATGGATCTGAAGATTTACTCAGATGTACAAAGTACTGAATGTAACCAAGAAACACTTTTTAGGTATAGTTGATGCACTCATCTTTTGGGATTATCTGTTACTAGGACCTAATCTAATCCATCCTGATTAAAATATACCCTGAGGATAGATAATAATCCTTAGAGCTTAATCTTAATGTAGAAGTACAGAGTGAAACTGTCCTATAATTTTTAATGCTAATTCACCTCCAAGTGAGAAAGGAGAGTACTAGTAGAGTACTGTTATTTTTTCCTTTGATTCTATCCCCTAATGGCTCCACCTTCCATACACTCTCATTCTATGTCTCCTTGAATGTGTTTAGAATAGATAATTGACCACTTCTCCCAGCTTTATTGAGGTATAATCAACACACAACATTGTAAATTTAAGGTGTATGATGTGTAGATTTGATATATTTATGAATTGCAAAATGATTACTACCATAGTATTAGCCATGTCCTCCTCCGGGGAATCTTCTCAAAGCAGGGATTGAACCCAGGTCTCCCACGCTTCCCTGGTAGCTCAGATAGATAGAATCTGACTGTAATGCAGGAGACCTCAGTTCAGTCCTGGGTCAGGAAGATCCCCTGGAGACGGGAATGGGAATCCACTCCAGTATTCTTGCCTGGAAGATTCCATGGACAGATCATGGCATTGCAAAGAGTTGGACACGACTGAGCAACTTTCACTTTTCACTTTTATAGTATTAACTACCACCTCTACCCCATCACACAATTACCATTTTTTTTACTTATGGTGAGAACATTTGAGATCTACTCTCTTATCAATAAGAATATGATACCATATTATCATCTATAATCACTGTGCCGTATGTTAGATCCCCAAACATGGAGCTCTGAGACCATCCATGTCCCTACCACACACATACACACACACCTTGGAGCATGAAGAACATACGGCAACAGCAATTAGAAGCAATGGACCACTAATGCACATAACTATGAGGATAGACTTTTAAAAGTAATACTGAATGAAAAACATAATGTAATTTATACTACATTGGAGAATACAGGGAAGACCAAAAAGATCTCATATTCAGGAGAATAATATTAAAAAGGAACTGGGTTTACTGGACAGTGCTGACAGTCGTGTCTGACTCTTTGTGACCCCATGGACAGTAACCCACCAGGTTCCTCTGTCTATGGGATTCTCCTGGAAAGAATATTGGAGTGGGGTGCCATTTCCTACTCCAGGGGATCTTCCCAACACAGGAACCAGACCCACATCTTTAATGTCTCCTGCATTGGCAGGTGGATCCTTTATCACTGAGCCATCAGGGAAGTCCTTGTTGCCAATAAGAGTCACCAAAGGCTACAGCAGAAAGGCTATGCAGAGAAGCAATAAGTATAGTATGGTCACCAGATTCTTACCTTGTGTTAATCACTGCATTTACTTATAAAATTCTTGCCATATATAAAAGGCAATAATTCTCTATCTCATTGTTAACAGTATGAAAACATAAGGAAGATAAATGATTTGTGTGTGTATATGTGGGCACATGTGTGTATAAAGAAAGTAAATTATTAGATTCTTTGGCAGTTGAAGAAAAAACTACGAATAGTAAGGGGTAAAAGATTTTCCTTAGAGACAAAATCTCAGAAATAAAAGAAAAATTTGGAGGAGAAATAAAAAAGAAATAAAATGAGATTGAACATTGATATTTCTTTTGACTTATATAAAGTTTTATATTCATAATATGAAGACCTATCGATTGTATTATGATTTCATATTTTAAAGTTTAAATTGGATACATAACCTAACTCATTGGAGATACGTGCCAAGAGCTTAGATGCTCTAAATTATCTATCCAATTTCAAATAATCTATTGAAATACTAAACCATAGTATACTAGATCAACAGAGTATGTAATTTCAATATAGCATAACATTTTAAGAGCACTAAAGCAGACAAAAAAGTAATTTTGGCTCCCTTTTTTCTAAAAAAGAGATATTGTTTTGATTGTATTTTTTAAACCTTCCTATTGGCTTCTGGAAAGAATTCACTTCAAATTTTTGTTTTGTGAATGCTACGAATTCTGCCTTTCTTCAAGAAAACAGAAAGAAAAGTATAAACAGAAAAATATGTATTTTTCTACACCAAATCCAGAGAAATTTCATGACTATTTCTTTTGAAAATTTGCAGTTTAAAATCATATAATATCTCATGATATTTTAATAATATAAAATTTGTCTACATTGCACAAAAGGTATAAATAAATGTGAGTCTCTTTATGCTGTCTAGTGTTACAAAAGAAAGTGGGGCCAGAGAAGATGCTCACAGCCTAGATTTCAGGCGAGTCCTTGGGACAGTGACCGAGTGTGGATTCGTGGCCTTGTGCAGGTAAGAATTCAAGAGCGAGCCACACTAAATAAAAGAAGGTTTTTTTTTCAGGGAGAAACACTCTCCACAGACAGAGTCAAAGGCAAGAGGCCCTGAAATATGTGGTGGTTAGTTTTTATAGTCTGGGTCATTTCATAGGCTAATGAGGAGGAGGATTATTTCAACTGTTTGGAGGAAGGGGCAGATATTTGCGGGAACTGGGTCACCGCCCACTTTCTGGCCTTTATCGCAGGCCCCAGCACTGTCATGGCAGCTGAGGGTGTGCCATTTAGTGTGCTGATGCATTACCATGCGCTTATAACGAGGTTCCAGGTACACTGAAAGTCAGTCATACGCCGCCTTGGACCTAGCTGGTTTTAACAAGTTTATGTTGTATCCTCAATGGCTGTGCCATTCTTTTAAAGGTTGTGCCTGCCTCCTTCCTGTCTCAATAGGGCTGGAAAATAAAGAAACTGTTATGTTAAGAAAAATATTCTACCTATTCTTTTCAATTTCACAAAAATATACATATCATTTACTAGCTTACAGATTTCAAGGTATGTATTACCTGCATAACAAAATGACAATAACATCTATGGAGCTTAAGCACCTGCTATTAATACATTCCAGTCACTGTTCTAAGAAGTTGGCACACAGTATGCCATTTAATTTTTAGCACCACCCTGTGGAGAAGGCAATGGCAACCCACTCCAGTACTCTTGCCTGGAAAATCCCATGGACAGAGGAGCGTGGTGGGCTGCAGTCCATGGGGTCGCTAAGAGTCAGACATGACTGAACGACTTCACTTTCACTTTCATGCATTGGAGAAGGACATGGCAACCCACTCCAGTGTTCTTGCCTGGAGAATCCCAGGGACAGGGGAACCTGGTGGGCTGCTGTCTCTGGGGTCAGACAGAGTCAGACATGACTGAAGTGACTTAGCAGCAGCAGCAGTGAGATAATACTTACTATTATGGAGAAACTGAGGAACAAGGTTCTTAGGCAAGGTCACAAAGAATTAATGACCTAACCAAATTACAAACATGTGGTCTGGCTTCAGAATCTGTATTCTTAATCACTTGGTATCTTTATTCCTCAGCGTGGCGGTCATGACTCTTGTCATCTTGTAGGAGAGAGCCTTTCTAGAATCATCACACATTACTGTGCTACAGCTACTGAGCCTCACAGCCAGTCTGCTCGAATCTATATCACGTATTCTCTTTCTTGTGGTTGTTTTCATTATCCTTCCTTACTTGATGCTGGTCATTTTTACAATAGCTAGGTCAAAAATCAAATTTCTCTGATTCCCCACCAACCCAGTACTCCATACGACCAACCACAGTGGATTCCTCTTTTCCTCCTTCATGCCCCTGTAAGCATCTAGCACTTAGCTTAAATCACTTGTAGATCTCCTCCCACCTAGTGCTTTCTATTTTGCCTTGTGGTTGTGTGTGCACCTCTTTACATTCCTAGATAACCTGACAATGTTTCAAGATAAGGCCTGTTTATTTTTAGTCACAATATCTGATCTTAGCTTTGAAGGCATATCTTTTGATCGAATATGTTAATAAATGAATAGATAAGTGATTTAAATAAAAAAAAAGATTAAAAGCTATGAAGGCAATCAATCTTGGAGATGTAATTAAAGTGTTCACTGTCGGGCAGCATATCATCATATTTTTCAGACTACTGGGAATCTTTTATAAATAAAATTCATCTGACACTTAAGAACTCATTCACTCATGAAGTGAATGATGTACATTTTACATACTAAGACTGAGTCAAATACATGTAAATATAAGATATAATATCCTAATCATTCATCAAAATTTATGAAAATGTAAAATGTATAACAAAGCATGGTGGGACCTCTATTTCTCCTAAATATATCCTTGACTACTTGAGCATAGGAGCTATGTTTTCCTCTCTACTCTTATAATATTTCAATAGTCCACATCCATAGAATTATTAATATATTTTTGGCTGAGTGAAATAAAAAAAGACAAAGAATGAGTAAAAAATTAATAAATGATGAAAAAGTGTTAGATGCTCAGTCGTGTCTGACTTTTTGTAACCCCATGGACTATGACCTGCCATGCTCCTCTGTCCATGGAATTCTCCAGGCAAGAACACTGGAGTGGGTTGCCATTTCCTTCTTCAGGGTATCTTCCCAACCTAGGAGTCAAACCCAAGTCTCTTGCAATGCAGGCAGATTCTTCACCATCTGGGCCACCAGGGAAGCCTACTAATAAATGATGAGAGAACTTCAAAATTTATGAAATAACCACGGAATATGAGTTTGTTTAAACTCTGATCCTTGAAAAAAGTATTTTTTGCTTAGAGAGTAAGGAAAGTTTACGGTCACTAATAAAAGAATTTTAAGCTCTTGCTATTGATCCAAATTGTTATAGTTAATAGAAATTGAGACAATATCTACAGCAAAAATGACATACTAAATTGACATGTAAACATATCAACTGGCACTTGAAATCAGATTACTAGATTGTGGCTGAAAAAAAAAAAAGTAAGTGTTATGAACTAGCAATGAACAGACAAAGCAAGTAGAAATTTCTTTGGATTTAGGAACATACTTCCTGTCTTTTCAACTGTTGGAGAACATGATGTTTTTCTGTGCTTTCCATTTTAACCCTTATCTCATGCAGAAGTATCATATTGTAGTTACAATGACCATTTTCCTAATGACTAAAGACGTTGAGCAACTTTTCATGATTATTTTCTATTTTATACTGTTTTTGATGAAATACTAGTTAACATTTGTTAAGAGATACAATTAGCTTGTACTTCCTTTTTTTAATTAAACTGTGAGATATTATCTGACAATTTCGGTACATGTGCCTTTTTCCCTTATAGATGGACAGATTGATAGCTTGATATAGAAATAAAATATATATATAGCAAATAACTTCTCAATCTCTTTAGTTTGTTCTTTAATGTATTCTTTAATGTAACACTTTAATGTATTCTTGATGAACAAGTTCTCAATCCCATTATTATCTAATTTATCATTTTGTGCCCTGTGTAAGAAACTTTTGCTTACTCTAATGTCACAGCATGTTTTCTTATGTTGTTTTCCTAAAATTCTTATTATTTCTACCATTGACATTTAGATTTGTGATCCATATGGAATTGATTTTTAGGAAAGAGTATATGAGATTTTTAAGAAAGGTGTAAGATTGAGGGTGGGGAGCAGGTACTATATACAATTTTTCCTTGTGACTGTCCAGTTGACCCAGCATTATTTATTGAAAATAAATAATCCTTTCTACTTTTCATTTCCAATTAACATCTATCAAAAATCAGTATGTTTTCTACAGATATTTTTCAGTACTCTGTACATAACTCTAATACACAAGTAGTTACACTGTTAATCGGTGCCATCACTTTGGAAAGCTATTTGTCAATACCTGCACAGTTTGAACATATGCAAATACCATATGATTTAGCAATTCTATTCCCAGGTGTGCATTCAAAATAAATCTGTGCATATGTTCACCAAAAGGCATATACCTGAATGTTCAGAAAAATATTATTTGTAGTAATTAAGCACTGAAAACTACCATAATGTTCATGAATGTTGCTTTGGATAATTATATCATATAGCAAAATATGCAGAATGATAAAAATGAATCAACAACACCTATGCACAATAACATGGATAAATTTAAAAAACAAAAGTTGAGAGGGAAAAGTAAGTAAAAAAGCAGAGTAGGGTGTGGTGGCAATCCTTATACAATAAGGTTTTACTATAGGTAAAACTAATCTATAATACTAGAAGTATACTTGTAGTACACTATAATACTAGAAGTTACTGACCATTGGGTATATTAGTGTCTGAAAACAGGGGGTCTTCTAGGCTCCTGTAAGGCTCTATTTCATGAACTGAATGCTAGTGACACTGCTGTATTCAACTTGTGAATGTTTACTGGGTTGTATGCTCATGTGTATTTTTGAGGGGATGTTACATTTTAATAAATACATTTTTAAAAGGAAGAAAACATTTAAATTCTTTATCATTAAGGAATAAATTATAATAAAATAGGAAATCATTTAGAACAAAATAAAAACTTGTGGAATGCAATCTATGCTCTGCTTAAAGGGAATTCTGGAATAGTTTTAAATGCTTATTTAAGAAAAAGCCCTAAAAATTATTTAAGTAAGCAGACAATTTAATATGGGAGAAGTGAGCAACAGAATAAATGTAGAGCAAGTAGAAAAAAGAAAATATAGAACAGATACCATTAAAACATAAAACATGCATGCAATAGAATGAATTAAAAATATAATAAGTGTGGGATTTTATGAATAAAATTGATAAATTAGCAAGAGTGATTAAGAGAAAACATAGGTACAAATAAAAATATAATTTTTGGATTGGAAAATATTACACAGCATTGAGAATTTTTAAGGGATAATGAAATAATATCATGAGAAATGTAATGCCAAATTTCAAGTTAGGTTAAATGAGCAAAGGTATACAAAAACAATTTTTGCAAAATAAGATTCAATTCAAGCAACAACCAATTTTTCAGGAATAAAGATATGTTCTAGCTTGATATTGGAAGGTAAAGAGGAAAGTCATGAGAAGTATGGTTTAGAAAAATCAGTTGAAATTGTCTTAGATGAACATCTGTACAAACTGGCATCTTCTCACCTCTCTTTACTACTTTATCCCATCCTCATGCATTTCACTTTTGTTGTGTTTCAGTTGCTAAGTTGTGTCTGCCTCTGTGACCCCATGAACTGCAGCCCACCAGTCTCCTCTATCTATGGGATTTCCCAGGCAAGAATACTGGAGTGGGTAACCTTTCTCTTCTCGAGCACTTGGCTTTTAACCCTAGGTTAAAACCCAACCAAGCAACCATACAGTAGAAAAACTGAAATCAATAATAAATAAGAACAACAACAACAAAAAATACCTAGAGAAGATTCAGTGTTCTGGCTTTCCAGAGCAAAGTCATATCCATTCATCGTTTCTCAGACCACTCTCTTCTTAAGCAAAG